CATCCAGCGTCCATATGTCCTTCAAACGGCCCGCACTTCCGACCTCTACCTATATTCATTTCACCGACAAATCGGCCCACATTCTTAGCCGGCGCTCCGCACACGTGGTAGCCAAGGCCGGCGAGGGAGCGCGTGTCTGGCGCGGTCGGGTGTCCTCAGCGCGTCTCAGCGACACCTATCGGACCGACAGGGGGCCATGAGGTCGGCCACGCCGCGCCGCGCCGCGTGGCCCGGCAGTACACCTACCACATGGCGTAACACGCCCCTACCCCTCCCACCCGACAAAACCTCGATACAGAACGCGGCTCCGCCTGCCGTCGTCGCCGCCACCACTGCCGACAGAATGTTAGTGACAGAGGTATATACAGGAGCCAGACGAGTTGGTATCGAGACGTTGACCGTGCGTCAGGACAGGGTTATGTGCATAAAAAGGAGAAGGGGACTGGTGAGAAGCCTAGAAAACCGAACGGATGACTACTCGTACTCATGTGCAGTGATATGGGTGATTATAGTAGATACTGGAGGTCTGCTCGCGAGCAGAATACAGTGCGTATGTTTTGGCCTTGTTCTGCAACACAGGTCTTGGGTTCAAAGAAAAAACCCTGATGACACCAGCGGAGAACCTTTTGCATTCAGAACTTTCCACAGAATTTTTTCGATGATTTCGAATTTCGTATCCAATTATTAAGTTTATATGAGTTCGGGAAGCCACTTTTTCAACCATCTTTTTCACATGTTTACGCACCCACCCAATGGGTTCAAGAACTGGCCGGATACCGGTTAATCACTGACTGACTGACTGACCTTTTAGACCCCGCGGCACGTGCCCGCATACCTTGCCATGAGAATAATTTATGGATAACGGAATTCTTCAATATTACCCGAAAAAAAATTCAGCTCCAAACTCCCATCTTACTTCAAGCCCAATGTTGTAAGTTGAGTTATCAATATGACGGGCAATATGCATCAAAAGGCACTAAGCCTTTTACTAGAGGCACCTGGCAAAAGTAATCTTGCCTGGCACCCCCTCTATAAAAAAAAAAACGAAAGAAGAACGATAAAATGGGATGTCGAAGGTCGCAGCCCGCAGGTTTTTGACGGCCAACGCTATCGGGAAGTGAACGTCCATTATATGCACAGTACGATATACGCCGTCAACCACCCGGCAAGTTATTGCTAAGTTACTACAGCATTTGAAGCGAAAAACTTGTGAACTTCCGCCTGCCTAAACACCATATGACCTTTGAACCCTTCGTACCCACTGAACCAAACTTATCAATGGCTCGCCAGACAAGTTTATCAACGGAGGCCAGGGTACAGATAGCAAAATACCAAATAAGTCTTCACCGTTCACTTGGCATCCCATATGGCGAGAGCGGAAAGGTGAACTCGACACTGGTAGCCTGTCTCAAACACACATTTCTCAATGCAATTTCCGGTGAGCGGCCGTTTCAGTGCCACCAGCATGCCACAACCACCATGCCAAACGGCCCAATTATCCTCGGTTCGGTCGCCATTTGGCTACACTTTCCTTCGAGCGCCAGACAGCTGGCCCACTGACGTGGCAAACCGCGTGACGTCACGACGGATGACGTCACATTTCCGACGTTCCCCACCGACGAGTCTCCCCCACACTTGCAGACGGGCCCGCCGCCAACGGCAGCGGTAGAGATGCAAAATTAGACCCCTCACCGCAGTGGTAGTCGAGTCGATCGTATGCTCATAAACAAGCGTTGCATCACTGGCTCGGGCGTCGCTGTGTAAAAAGAGACATAAGCTCGCTACCCAAAATACGATTTTTGACGCATTTTCTAGTTATTACTTCAGCCATCAATAAACTACTTTTCATCAAAATGTCATCCTCTTACATAAATAGAAACCCTTTTAAATTCGAAACGACCCTTTTAATTAAACAACCCAACCTTACAAATCCTTTCCGGGGAAAATAACATTTCTAATCCGCACACCTGCCACCTCGGTCGGCCCCTGGTAGCGGCGCACTGTAGGCCGGCAGCCTGAAAAAAGCGCTAGAAATTCCCCCAAACTGACTGTCCACAATATGAACAAAATAGGTATCATTTAATCCCGAATTGATCGAAGAATACGATTCCGATGCTAGTTTTGCCCTAAGGTCAAAATTGAGGTCGTAAGTTGTCACCAAACACAAGACAATTTAGGCTCTCTATAGGCCACCACATTTACCGATTTTAATGATGAACTTTAGTGGTAATTTATTAGTTGACCAATCGTCGTTTTGAACGAAATTTCCTGTCAGACTAGTTCAGGGCACTGTTGTTCACTGTGCCAACATCATTCTGACATGTTGCATCGCTTTTCTGCAAGATAAGCTAGCTGTTTGCAAGCAGCTGCAAGACGTAATTTAAAATCATATCCAATTTTTTAATTAGACTTTTATAAAAACGTTATTTCGAGCGGCTAAAAATGAACCATAATGAACATTTTATACTAGCCTCTGATTACTCATCTTTCGTTCCATATAGGTGCTTTGCTGCTTTTCCCTGCTACTTTTCGAGGTATGCGCCAGTAAACCACATGATGTAGGGGCAAGTGTCACCTCGCCGCTCTACTGAAGGCCCGGCGCTCTTTAAAACGCTGGAAGTTATGAAAAACAAACGCTTATAATCTAAATAAAATATATGTCCCTGAGCTCCGAATTGATCAACGCACACAATGCTGTCAACATTTCTGGGTCAAACTCAAAAATTCAGTCATTATTAACCCCTAAACACAAGTCAGTGATAGGTAATCAACAACAACTTGCTCTTTAGTTAGACTTTTTGAGAAATGTTATTTAGAGCCGCTAAAAATGACCATGCCATACAAACCACCAATCATCTCTCTGTCATGCCTACTCGCAATTTTTGCTAATGCCTGCTACTCTTCGAGGTCACGTGACCTCACAATTAAAAGTGAATGGGGAAATAAGGAAACTGTTGTTTTTGCGCATGGAGTGATTTCAAACTATCTCAAGCACACGGAATCGTGATTTCGTGCACTCCTTGCAAGATCCGATGCTTTACTTTTGCATTGTTGACCTTCCGTGACGTCATTTATGACGTCACACCGGTCATAGGAGTTTCTCGTCAATAACTCACGATCAAATGAGCCAGCGACTCGGGAAAGCCACCAATGGACTCGGGAAGACCTCCCGAATCGAATGATATGCGATACGACCTCCTTCGATTAAGTTCGTGGCCTGATGTACTCTGAACTGACCTTGACTCGAGGTCAATACCTTAAGTTGACCTCACCCGAACAAAAAGCATACCATTCGACGCGCCTGAGCCAGGCGAACACGATGGTGCCAAAATCGGTGCTCTGCGGCCATTGTTTTTGCGAAATTATTTGCCAAAAACCAAACCCTACCTTGGGCTTTTTGACTTTACCTCAGAGGTTACCGGTTGACCTGGGACCTTAAAATCGGGTATCAATCGTTCCGCCTTGAAACGGCGCACACGCTTGTTTTTTCCGCGAGGCTCTAGCTCCATTAGGGGCGAAACGGCAAAAAGGGGTCGTACGAACCCTCCCCCCCTCGGCCGGCCGAGGGGGTGGGGGGGGTCCGACAATAGTTAGGTCCGGCGAGGGTTAAGCAGCCCCACTTCGTTTTTAGCATGTTTGCTTGTCACTGAGATCAACGACTCAATCACAAATAATTTCTAGCACTTTTCCGGACCCCCGGCCCAGTGTGCGGCGGCGCCGGTTCCCCCCCCCCCCCCTTGCCGGCGCCGTCAGGTGTCCTTCCCCGCCCCGTCCCCCCACGGTCAGCTGATCGGCGGCCCGGCGCCGACGCCGGACCCACGTGGCGGCGTGGTGGTGCACCCACGTGGTGCGCGGGCCGGCCGGCCGGCCGGCGGGACAGATTACAGCCGACGCCGCCGGCCGGCCGGTCGGGAAATGTCGGCAAACTCAGGGGAGACGCGCCCAGGCATACCTGCCGGGGTGACAGAATCACAGGATGACTTCTAGGGGAGATAACCGCAGTGAAAGCGGCGCACACGTGGGCACCTGCGGCGCGCCCGGTCCCCACACCGCGTGGTCGCGGCGTGTTGTGATAGCGCCGTCCCCGACCCTTGGGGCGCCCATTCCCTGGACGGTGCCGCGGCCAATCCGCCGCTGACACAGTGGTGTGACGCCTGCCCGACCGGCTCACACGCCGTCCAGACGGTGAAACACGCCGCTCGGACGGCCGTCTGAATCACCCGAGGTCATTCTCCGTCCGTCCGAACCGTGTTGTCGCGGCAGAGAAGGGACGGGGTCCCATCACCCGTCCGGTGCACTGTTGTAAAAACCTCCACCGGCATAGAAAGGCGGACGGTCCAGCGAGCCTAGTTACGGGGTGAACTCTGAAAGCCGGCGATGAACCATGGGCCGAGCCGGACCGGTTATCGGTCCGGCTGGCTTCTCGGAAACTGACACCAAACGGTACTGAAGTCCACGTGGCGCGGTCCGTCGGCCGCTCCACACCGGTCACTACAGGCTACAGCTGAACCTCACCGAATTAAACAAGCCCGCCACGAGAGCAGGTGTCACGAACAACCATCCCCGGGCGCACGGGCGGCCGTAAAGCATCATCACCGTTTGGCATCGGTTCAACCCATCGCCGCTTTCCATCCAGGGCAGTCCGCTCACTTCCCATCGCCATGAGCTGCTCTTACCCGGAGCCAAACGAAAGGAGGCCGCTCTGATTGACCAGCGAGCACTTGACCAAAGGCCGTACTCCAGCAACAGTTAGTGACCTGCGCGGGCTACACTAGCATAATTACGATAACCAAAACCATGATCAGAACCGTCACCAGCATCAGTAACACTAATAAGTTCGGCGCGCCGTGGTGGTTAGTCACAGCTCAAAGAAAACCTGCTCTGGCAGTCATCCGGCATGCGATTCACACTGGATAACTACCGAGAAAGAGAGCGGGAGAGAGCGAGCGGGGGCGAGAGCGCAGCGCTCGACTAGCCCGGGGTGTGGGCGGAACACCTACCTCGCTCCGTCCGGAGAGGCACAGGTCACGCTGCGGCTCCGGCTCGTCACCGAGCTCCAGCGGCACTCGGCAGGTCGGCTGCGGCTCCAGCGCGGGCGCGTCCAGGCGCAGCACGTCTGTCGAGCACGGATACACATCGCTCATATCCAGCAGGTCATCCAGCAGCAGGTCGAAATCGGGGCGGCTCGTCGGCCTGACGGCGCTCGGCCATCGGCGGCGGACCGGCGCGCTGGCACAACATCGCGGCGGCGGCGCGGCGCGGCGCTCACTCTCTCACAGCTCGGCGGCGACTGGCCGGCCGGTCGGTCGGCCCGCCCGCCCGCGCCGGCCGGCCACATGGGGACCCACGCCGCCGTGATCGGTGCCGCCAGCGAGCGGAGGAGGGGATGGGGTGGGACCGGGATTAGGAACGGGACGGATACCCGAGGTGACCGGTCACAGACAGACCCCTAATTGAGCGGGACGGAGACTGAATGGATGGGGAGGAGCGGGCGTGGACCGACCGAGCACAGGCAGGAATGGAGTGGACACATGGTACACAGCGTGTAGGGTCGACACAGGGCAGCGGATATTACCAGTGAAACTTGAACTGAATGCAATCTCGAATAACTAAAAAGAATCAAGGCCATCCTAAACAGGAAGTATAAAAGGGTTGAGAGATGGGACAAGAAGCATATTAAACACCAAAAAAAGGCGGGTAATATAAAATAATTTACGCTTTTTAGAAAAAGGATTATGAATAATAGGTACCCTGAAGAATAAAAACAAAATGCAGTGGACAAGAAATATCAACAAAAAGTCAAAAACTCCCCCGCACTCCTGAAAAACATGCGTATCCTGATCATAATCTGAATAACTGAAAAGAGTGTTAGTAAATCATTAAACTGTCACCGTAAAGTGGGGCTATTTGAGACAGTGGGGCTATTTGAGACAGTATTTAAAATCGCTATAAAATGAAGAGCGTTTTATTTTTATGTGATATTTTTGCTCAGGAAAGTGTGGAATCGAGCAGTAAATCGCCTGAGCCAAAATTAAGCATAAATTTCAAACGGTTTTTATTTTATAACAATTTTAAATACTGTCTCAAATAGCCCCACTGTCTCAAATAGCCCCACCTTACGGCACTGAAATGTCCGGATTTCTCCGTTCGATCGGGCAGTCCGACATCACATCCATCACCGTTCCATCAGACTATCGGCGGCAGCGCGAAGGGTCTCAGCAATTACCGGAACCCGAGCCGGTGTCCCCTCACACCGGATAAGCGGCAAACTCGGTGTCCCGTCCCTGCGACTGACACGCCTTCTGGGTGGTAAATTAGCCCCATCGCCCCCCCCCCCCGGAGACGCTCTGGGACCCCCGGGCCCCGATAATGGGCACGCGCATTCCTCAAAATTACCCCGGCGTTGAATTTCAAAGGAGTGGCTAAACGCACGGCTTGGCAATAATCTGGGATTTGCTGATAAGGATGCATGCTCGGGTTCATGGTTCAAAGGGATTATGACCCGAAATTGATGAGCCAAAACATTTCAAACTTCACCCTCCTAGGGCGTGACGGCATTAGCCTTCAGGCATGTCAACTCTCAGTGTGTCAATCTGAGTCGTTTTTTGTCAGAGATATTGCGTAACTGGCCATTCAAGGGGCAACTTCTTCAATAGCGCGCTGGCGAGGGCGGAACGCACTGACTCTAGCCTCTAGCCCATGGCTGGTCGTTCCTTTAAGTCTACCCATGTGTAGACTTAAAGGACACAACATTTTTGAACACAACAGTTCAAATACCGTAGCCAAACAAAAATAAAGGCCGTTAAAGGGACCCTCCCACCTTAACATTAGATTTGAGTTGAGATAGCCAAAATGGGGTCCCTGGCTCACAATTACCGGTTTCGGCACTCACAACATCGAGAAATGCCTTAAATCAATCGGAAATATTGAATTTCAGAATTGCAGCATTTTGATTCAGAGGGGCTAATGCTTAGGAATACCCCTCTGAATGTGTGACGTCAGCGCAAATATCTAACGATTTTTAAATGTTTGACTAAAACGTTTTGTAGCACGCGGTGGTATATATTTGCGCGCAACATCTGCCGCAAACGCCGCACTTCTAAAATAAAGTCGCTAGAAACAGCGGAGATCCCAAAAAAGTAAACAAAAGTAAAAGTCTAATATCTTGAAAACCGGTGAATATTTTTCGGTGAAATTTTGTAGATATTCGTTTTCGCTCTTTCTGAACCGAGCGACATCACTTTCATGCCAATTCATAAACTTTTTTGAAGGTGGGAGGGTCCCTTTAAGATCACCTATTGCCTCTTGGAAAGGCTGAAGCTGAAGTGAAAACTTCGTAATAAGCGTTTTTTTACGGCGATAAGAAAAATTAGCATAATAAAAAAGCAGAAACGTACACAAAACATGGAGTTTGGACACAAGACACACCGAAACACAATGTCACAACCCACCAACCCGCCGTCAAGTTACAGATAAGCCCCACAGTATCGTCCTCAGTTGGCCGTCTCCGGTGCAGACTCCGATAACGTAATCGCAAGAAGCGTCACTCAACAACATGGGATTCATTCTCTGGAGTACGCTCATTCACAACCCCTCCACGCAGCCACCCTGAATAGGCCTCCACCTGTCCTGGGAACGTACCGCGCCCGTTCCCAGCAGAGCTATTCCCCAATGGAAACGCGGCGGGATCATCTCCCAGGGATAGAACCAGGATCCCACCGGGGTGGAGCGGCACAGAGGCAGGTGCAGGAACGGAGTCGCACAAGGGCCAATAGCGACCAGGAATGAATGGTGTTAGAGAGATGGTAAGCTGTCCCTCCGCATGCCCACGTAGAATGTGCATTGTGCACGTGATACGTCTTCTGCATCTTTTTTTGTTGTCTCTTGTACTCCCGAGTCATGGGGCGGACCTTAAACGTTTTGACTAGGTATATAATCTTTGGGCATTGAGCAAAGTATGAGGATTGAGCTAGGAAATGTTCCGAGCCTGCCTACACCTTGGACTTTGGAGGACACGTCACTGAGGCGTGCTGGCGGCGCCTCAGGCGACGATCAATATTTATTTGCCGGTTAATAGGTGCAAAGGTTGTGAAAGGTTGTGCAATAGGTACACCAATCATGTTGCACCGGGGCATATTTTAACAAATTTTCACTGCGTCCCAAAGTTGAGCAGAGGGCGCGTACTACGACTAAGGGCACAGGGCATGGAACAGGGTAGGGCACTGAGGAGGGTGGAGAGCAGGGCACGGCAGGATACAGGGCATGGCACAGGACATTTTAGAGGAAAGGGTACAGGGCAGAGAGCAAGGGACAGGTTAGGGAACAGGGCAGGACAGAGAGCGGGGCACAGGTCAGGGAACCGGACAGGGCACAGGTCAGGGACGCAGTGGGTCAAACCAGGAGGGGCTACGTCCCAAGGCGAGGGGATTGCGCCCCAAAATGGGACGCAGTAAGTGCTTTGAAATATGCCCTGTATTGCACGGGTTTGGGTGTGTCAATTTTCAGCGAAGATTTCAACATGAAAAAAAAGGACGAAAACCAGCATGGTTTTCGTCCTGCAAGGTCCTGTACAACCCAGCTCCTTGAAGCTATGGATGACTGGACGCGAGCAATAGACTCTGGGCAGCCTGTCGACACCATTTACCTCGACTTTAGCAAGGCATTTGATTCGGTCCCACATGGTCTTCTTCTTTCTAAGCTGAAGTACTATGGTGTTGATGGAAGGGTGTTGAAATGGGTCGAAGCATTCCTGTCTGATCGCACCCAGCAGGTCCTGGTCGAAGGCGCCTTGTCAAGCAGCTCTAAGGTGAAAAGTGGTGTTCCTCAGGGTTCCGTACTGGGTCCTTTGTTATTTCTCATATACATCAATGACATGCCTGACCATCTTGAAAGTCATATCAAGATTTTCGCGGACGACTCCAAGCTGTTCGGTCCTGTTCAGTCCCCCAGTGATAGACTTCGACTTCAAGAAGACATCGACAAAGTAGCTGAGTGGTCACAACGCTGGAGACTCCCACTCAACTTGGACAAATGCAAGGTGCTCCACATGGGTCCCAGGAACCCCTGTGTCAGCTACAAAATGTTTGAATCAAACCTCACTGCTGTTGACGAAGAAAAGGACTTAGGCGTGACAATAGACAGTGCAATGAAGTTTCATGTTCAGACAGCAAGGGTTGTGGCCAAAGCAAACAAGCTCCTCGGAATCATCCGCAGATCGTTTGGAAATCTTAGCAAAGACATGCTTACTGTGTTGTTCAGGACCTTGATAAGACCTCACCTGGAATATGGTAACAGTATATGGGGACCGCCATCGAAGGGAGACCAAAAGAAGATAGGGAGAGTCCAGAGACGTGCTACCAAGCTGGTCCGTGAACTACGGCCCAAGCCATACTCGCAGAGACTCAGGGAGTTGGACCTGCCCTCACTTACGTATCGACGCCTACGAGGAGACATGATAACGGTCTTCCAGATACTCCGGGGCTCCCTCGATGTGCGCCCAGGTCTCCTTCCATTGGCAAGCTCCAGGATTACTCGAGGCCATCATTTGAAGCTCCACAAGCCAAGATCAAGATCAAGAGCGAGGAGGAACTTTCTGGGAGTCAGAGCAATCAACAGCTGGAACGGCCTGCCTCCCTCTGTTGTATCCGCACCTACTGTCAATGCCTTCAAGTCCCGACTCGACTCCCACTGGAAAAACATCCAATATTCATCAGTCTTCGATCAATAGAAACAGAGCGAGTTTAAAGTAATGATCCGGTCCAATAGGCCTGCTACTTGGCCTCAAAATTCCGTGTACTTCTAAGGTAAGGTAAGGTATGAAACCGTTGAGAGTATAGCATTATTGAGCTTAAAATTGTGAATATCATTAAATATAATCAAAGTTCTTCATTCTAACTATTTGTTATCCTTATAAAAAATAGGTGAGGTGGAAACACATCATGAAATCCCGTTACAAGAACTATTTGCCGTTCTACTTAGCCAGCATTGTCTGCTTTAGAACAAATGAATTGATCGTTACGTCTGGGTGCCCAAGTTGTTTGACAGCTTATCATGCAGCAGCGTCGAGTTGTTATTGTGAAACAACGTCATGCTTGATGCTGCAGCAGGCAGCTGGAA